CCTCAAGATCACTTGAAAAAAGCCTTGGGAAAAGTTATTACCTCAGGTCAAGGTCAAACTTTAACTGACCAGGGTCGATCAGTCACAACATCTGATGTTCTAGGACAACCCTCTACACAACAACAACGGTCAGGAGCAAAAGTGAAGAAAGCAGTGACAACATACAAACTACTGCCACAGACCAAGGTAGTGGAGGAGTGGAAGTCTCCATGTTACATTGGTTCTATATGTTCCACCACTGATGGTCAGGTGTGGACCAAATGTAATGAAACATTAACTCTCCTTGACAGGAAGGGTAAAGTAATACAGACGGTCAATCACAATGTCTGTATCTATGACATCAGTCTGTCACCCACCACACAAACACTGTGGGTCTGTGATAATAACAACAACATCATGGAGCTGGTATCAGGACGACTGACTCACAGATTCAGTACCAAGGAGGTACCCAGGTGTATATGTGTTACAGCCAGTAACCATGTCATTGTAGGGATGATCAAACACATCTCCAAATTTACCACAGATGGTACAATGGTGTGTACTACAATGGCTATAGGGACTGGGAAACCATTAGTGTGTACACCACACAAGATCACAGAGTGTCCTGTCACTCACAATGTGGCAGTCACTGATTTCAGTCATGAAAGTGATGGTGGTGATGGAAAGGGACGTGTTGTTGTGATGGACACTGATTTCAAGGAGCTGTTTGTATATAGAGGTGACATCCCCAGTACATATAAACCAACACCACAAACAGGAGGTAGACCATTTTACCCCAGTGGTGTGGTGTATGACAGTGTGGGGAACCTGATCATAGGGGACTGTGACAACTACAGGGTCCTACTCATCAGTGGAGGTAGCGAGTTCCTCAGGGTCATACACACAGACACAAACTGTACACGGGCTGTAGGTATAGACAGGGAGGATGTCCTGTGGGTAGTGTTTGGGGCATTGTGTAGGGAAGTCAAACTACTACAGAACAGCAGTATGTGACACCTGTAACCAAACAACTAGTATATCTAGTTACCATGACAATGACATGGAAATCAAAGACAAAGTAAACTTATCATGATAACCAATCAACTACAGATTGTGAGACATTCACAGGATTATAAGTAAAATGTCTAAACTACAGATTATGAGACATTCATAGGATTATAAGTAAAATGTCTAGACTACAGATTGTGAGACATTCACAGGATTATAAGTAAAATGTCTAGAAGACAGATCGTGTGACATTCACAGGATTATAAGTAAAATGTCTAGACTATATATTGTGAGACATTCACAGGATTATGCATGAAATGTCTAGATAAAAGATTGTGAGACATTCACAGGATTATATGTAAAATGTCTACACTATAGATTGTGAGACATTTACAGGATTATAAGTAAAATGTCTAGACTATATATTGTGAGACATTCACAGTATTATGCATGAAACGTCTAGATAAAAGATTGTGAGACATTCACAGGATTATAACTAAAATGTCTACACTATATAGATTGTGTGACATTCACAGGATTATAATTTAGAGACCAAATAGGCCTATACAACTCAACTACCGATCAACTACTTTTCAGTGCTGTTTGTAAACAAATCTGTGACCTATAAAGTGGATCGTATATAATACAGTACATTTCACTTAATATCATGCTGCTTAATTTTACTTTTCGGTTATTGTCATGTTTCCTTATGCACTGTTTTTCCTGCTTTATAACCTACGTAATTCAATTCTTTTATTATCACCTGGATTGATATCAATTTCGCTTAATGTCACTTTATTTTGGCCACTGTCACAAAATAATAATCGGTAAATGGAGGTAAGCTTCAATTATTTTGAGTGATTATGTATCACTCTTTTTAGATCTGAGGAATCCACAGTAAAACACTTTATAATCTTTCTTCAAAAAATAATAATTGGGAAAACTGACTGAGAAGAAGGTCAAGATGATTTATTTGAACAAAGTTGATCTCACTTACTGGTAAATACGGCATTCTGCTAGCAAAATATCATGACCCAATGCCACTTTCCTAATGATTAATCAGGAGAAGCTGTTTAGATATTGATATATATGTCCCTTATGACCTTGAACGTAGGCTAAGGTCATATTTATGAGAGCACTTTATAGCACAGTAGTATACCAGGTATCTACTGGCTGACTATCAGGACCCTTGGTCTTTATATAATGGTACTAAAAAAAAAGCTTCTTGTAAATATTTACTTATTAAAGTCCATGTTGACATTTTACCCCGGCTAACTGTCAAAGTTAACCTTTCACCTAAACACAAAAGTTAGAAACATACCAAAGTACAATGGCTCTAGACCTTATAGTTCTTTAGAAAATGTTGCTTAAATTAGCACTCCATCAATGGTACCTACTGGCAACAT